AGCCATTTACATCCGGTCACGACGGGTTCGGGGATTCACAGACACCGCTTCTCATCCGATGGATGAACGTTTTCTGCGGGTGGCCGCAGCGCAGAGGGAGGGAGGCCCCCGCTCCAGCGAACGCCTCCGGTTTGGGACCTCAGTGTGGTCCTTAGGGGGCTGTTCGGGGTTCGCCTTATGAACGGGGCGGTGGGCCGGAGTCCCGATTGTTATCGCTTTTAAGACGGCCTCTTGCTGGCGTTGGGTCTGCAAAAAATGGCGCGGGCGCGAATTGTTGTGCGCTCTCAGTCCCTGCGTCTTGCCTGGTCCTTTGGCCCGCCGCGAGGACGACGGCATGGTGGAGTTGGTGGGCCCAATCCGGCTATTTCTCCCCAATAGGTCATCACGTTGGCTTTTAGGTCGAGAGTGATTCAGGATAAGGGCCTTTCCACCCGCCGCCGCATAGCCACACTCCCCCGCGGAGGAGCGGCAGCACCTTCTGGGTGTGTCTATCAGAATGCTGAGGCATTTACCTGTCCCTGACGTGTCTTCAGGGTGGGTGATCAGCTGATTGTGTGTGCTGCGGCCCCATGACAGGGGATTTGTGACCCCGCTGTCGTGATGTGTATGAGGGCTGGCGCATTGGGTTCGCCACCGGCGGTGCGACGGGCGTATAGGGCGCAGGGCCTGGCCCCCCGGAGGGTTCTAGGTCGCATTCCACCGCGAGGGATGGCGGCCTCTACGGCCCTTCTCAGGGGCCGGCGTCGGTCGAGGCCGTTGCCAAGTTGGGCTTCCTTGGGCGTCGTCTCCTCTTTCGAAGGTTCTTATCTTTCGGAGTGTCCGGCCCTGCTCGGTCGGTGGCCCATTTCCGTGCTAGAGTGCAGCGGATATTGAGTTGGACGCTTGGGTCCCTCCCCTGAGGCAGTGGGCCCTTCGGTTCTATTTCCCGCCCTGGTGCAGCGAGCTCTTGGGAGATAGAGGCATCCTACAGGTGCGGGTGGTAATCTATGTGTGTTTGATCGGTTCTGGTTGTCTACATCAGGAGCTCTTGGGAGAGGCGTCCTTCCCAGTGACTACCGGCTTGACCTACGATTGGTGTTACGTGGGGGGCGTCCTTAAGGTCAGGAGTGGCCCCGGGGTAACTCGCTTTGTTTCTTCTGCCCTGAGTCCCTCTCCGGTGTAGAGGGTTTCTCGGCGGAGCTCCATCACCCTTCGCTGGCCTGCTGTGAGTACATGATCTACGGCCTCCGAGTTGTGTCCCACCTAGCGAAGAGTCCTAAGGGGACGTAGCACCCATGACGTAGACTAAAAAGACCCCCTAAGTAACTTAAGAACTATACGCTTAGTGTGCGGAGTCCTTAGCTACGAGCATCAGGCCAGCCCGTCTTCGCAGAGTTCAAGAGGGGGAGCGGCCTTGAGCAGGGGCATTTATAGAGAGAAGGTGGCTGGTGATTGGAGCAAATTATATTTGAACTACAAGGCGTCTGTGAACCTGGGGGTCACGTGAATATCCCCCCGGCGAACAGTCCTAGGGACTACGCACCTTTCGTAGAAATTAAGTTACTTAGGTACCTATTAATTTCCCCATCAATGGCTTTTGTAAGACCCGTGTCCTCCTCACACCACAACCAAAGCACAGGCATGCCTGTGTTTACTTTAGCAAAGAGTTTGGTCTCGGTTCTCAAAACCGTCAATCTGGGCTGAGTACAGAGGATCTGCGTGCTTCTGGAATGTACAAACGACGCTGTGCTGTGATTTGCATTTCCATAGCGTTAGTTAATGTTGTTAGCGTAGCATCTTTCTCTGAGGCAGTTTTCATTACTTTCATGACCTGTCTTTCATTATATCGCTATGCATCCACTAAAACATGGCTGATACTAGAGTTATTATTGCTTAACAAGTAGTAGTCCTATACCGTTTTTTAGTTTGGAGACTGGGAAAAATTATCCCACAGCATTAATGTTCCCCCCGTGCAACAAAAATTGTATGAAATATTTGTGAATTTAGAAATTAATAATTAATTATGTGAACATTGTGAAATTAATCACAAGTAATGTAATGTTTACAGTATATTTGACAATTTATAAATATTACATTAATTAAATATTATACTGTAATGTTAAAGTATATTTTACAATTTACTTTCAGAATCAGGAGAGAAGTGCTGACACCAGATCTAATAACCCACCACTTCTACTTTGTAGCCTTCATCAGGTAAAAAATGTTATCCTTATACACATCTTGATTATAGTTTACTAATGTATTACAACACTTGAATCATATTTTTGTCTTGCAAGGGGAACTCCAATAATCAAGGACTCAAGAAGTGAGATAGATTCGAGACAGTAGGCTTTTTAGATGACGATGGCAATGCAAAGCTTTGCATTGCACAAAAAACACGACCGTTGTTTTGGAATCACCCTTAAGGCTGTGTCTATGATTATGACCTGTCTTGTGATTAATTGATCAACAAGTATAATCGTCTTGAAGAGAACAAAGGTAGTCTGAGGGCACTCTGTTATGAGGGTGTGGAAAAAATTAAAAAGTCTTTTAAGAAATGGACCCTGCCTACGCGGTTTCGCAACAGCGGTCTATGTCAGGGATAACAAAAGATAAATAAAAGATTTAATGGCCTATAGACAGTGAGCTATAGCTATAGCTATGTAAGCTATAGAGCTGAAGTTATCAAAGTAATTCTTCCTCTTTACAATTTACCCAGGCGCACTTAGAGGAAGTTGGCCGGTTGATCTGCCGAGGTTGTACCGTCTTGCCAAAAAAGTGGACGCTTATGTATTGCTCAGCTGTTAATGATGTTAAAGCAACCCTGCGAGCATGCGCGTCTCACGGAGCCGAAACAAACCCAGATGGCGGACCGAAAGTCCGTGTGAATGCTTTAAAAGTTATCAATACGAACGAAATAAGACACGAATGTCACTTTTAAAGCAATTTGAGGCGAGATGTTGATGGTTCCGTGGTTGGCACAACTTGGGTTTTAAGAGGTCAAACTTTCGGGTAAAGTTTAGTATAAGCAGTCCAACTGCACTATGTGAAACCACTATGCATAAGTTTGACTAGCAAGTCCTGGCAGCTGACGTACCGTCCTATTATTTCGCATGCATCCCCATCAGACTGTTTTCCTCATCTACCCAGAAGCTGAAAACACCGTGAGACTGGCTCTCCTTTTTCAAATGAATATATTTTCGAATGTTTTAACGGTTCTATCAGCGATCATTCATCCTGTGAATTGAATAGGGGCTTAGGATACCTCGATCTGTAGTGAAACAAACGCTGTGTAAACGACTTTAGTTAACAGCGTTTACAGCGGGTGTTGTGAGATGGACCAACATGCTATGTTACGCTCCCAACAGAGATTCATTTTAAAAATATCTCAGTACTTTTTCAGTGAAAGTGCATGATAGGGATATTTTAAGTTGACCATAAGTTTGACCGCGTTTTTATCCTTGAAGCACCCGAGCCGTTGATTTGGACTTAATGGTGCACGCACTTAATGGTGCAAGCCCTAATGTGCCAAGCACCTTCAATGGTGCAAGCAACTGCACCTCAGGCACGCTACTTAACTTCTAAACAATATGAAATTACTTATTCAAACTTTGTACCAACCTCTGGGTTCGAAAATTAGATTTTGGGGGGGAAAAATGATACGTACACGCGTAATGCATGACTGAATACCGTGGTCATAATCCCACCCAGAAATGTATTTAGTATCTATATTTGCTCGTGGAAAGTTAGTAACATTATGAGTACTAGTAGCAAAGAGAAATTACTTTTTCATTTATGTGTGTTGGGTGTTTCTCCAGCATGTAGCCTCATTATTAATAAATATCATATGGTGAAAGTAATTTAATACCAATACAAAGTCAGAGATTTCCATAATTTAAATATGATAATTTTGTGTGGGTTTTTTTCAAACAGTATTTGACGTTATTACTTGGTAGTCATTTAACAACGTCTTCCCTTTTTCTCCCCAGACCCATCCTTGAGCCTTTATCTTTCGATATCTAATGGTGAAAGGAATTCAATACTTATACAAATTCAGAGATTTCCATCATTTTTCAAGTAAGATATTTTTAGTGTGGGTTTTGATCTGTTTTTGATGTTATTATTTGGTAGTCATGTAACAACGTTTTCTCTTTCTCTCCCCAGACCCATCCTTGCACTTTTTGTTCACTTCCTCATTTACATCTACTTTTGATTAATAATCAAAATGGAGCATAAATGGGATGAAATGTTTCTCCTCCTCACAGAGAACATTTATCCTGAGGGAATGAATAAATTTCAAAGAGACAACTGGAGGAAGTACTCCCTTAAGTTTACAGTAAAGGGTAATAATGCATTTGCTAGTATGGTTATACATGTCTTATTCTTCTTCTGTTGTTTTCATATAAATTATTTTTTATAGATGGTGAGCTGTTCTATGGCAAAAGAAGAGCCATTAAAACCAGACATGAGGCGCAGAAACTATTTCAAGAGTTTCATGCTACGCCCATGGGAGGCCACACTGGGATGAAAAAAACCCGACATGCCATTTGTTCCAGGTTTTACTGGCGTGGCATGACTGTGATGATTGACAATTGGGTATGTGATATTATTTGTCTGTACAATTCCCTTCCCTAAAGCCTGTTCGTTTTAAGATTGCTGAGTGTGACCAATGTCAACGTGAGGGAAAGACTCTGGGTACAGTTGCACCACTCCAAACAATAAAGGTAATTGTATTGTTACTATTCAACCACCAATGTACATTTATGCATTACAATCCTGTTGGCATGTTAGGTGTCTGCTGTTTGGGAGCTGCTGGGGGATTGACCTAACTGGGCCCTTCCCCAAAACTACTGATGGCTATCAGTACATATTTACAGCCACTGATTATTTTTCAAAGTGGGTAGAGGCTTTCCCATTGAAAACCAAGACGGCTGCGGAGGTTGGGCAAAGACTTTGCTCTATAATATACAGGCATGGGTGCCCGAAACGGATCCTGTCTGATCAAGGGCGGGATTTTGTAAATGAGGTGAATATTGCTTTTTGTAGTTGTTACTTTTTTTTGTTCATACTTTCTTATTCATTTAATTTTCATTGTTTTAGCTCAATGATTCTCTGTGCTCTCTGCTGGGCATTGAGAGAAGCGTCACCGCTGCGTACCACCCACAGACTAATGGGTTGGACGAAAAGACCAACCACAACATCAAGAGGCAAGAAAGATATGTATAATTTAATCATGTGAAGCACACATTAAATATATGACTGATGGCAAACCCTACATGTTTTAATTTCCCCCATTTAAACAATGTTCGGAATGTCTTTCTCAGAGCTTTGATGAAGTTGGTGAATGAGCAGCAGAACAACTGGGACACATTCCTTGATGCCACACTGTTCTCTTTGAGGTCAAAGGTGCACATCTCAACCAAACACACCCCATTCAGTTGATGTATGGGCGGGAGGCTGTGTTCCCCTCAGAGGTGCCTGTAGATTATCCTGTAAGTTCCATTCGTTCAATTGTTGGGTTACACAGAGGGGGAAGAAGCTGGACAAGGTCATCAGTAAGTTCAGCTCAGTCATGGGCTGTTCCCAGTGCAGCAGGTGGGGGACTATGACTGTCACCCCCTGCAGGACACTCTGCTCTGGAGAGCAGCTTCAGTGAGAGCTATTCATCCTCTATGTGTGAAGAAGAGGTTGCACAGGTCTTTCCTTCCTGCCGCTGTCAGACTGTACTGTGAGAACTGCTGAGCCTGTACATGTCATCTCGTCTGTAAATAAGTAGTAAGTAAATACTGTAACAATCACATTTTCCCACTGTGGGACAAATTATACCTTATTTTATTTAGGAGACAATCATGGCACTTTCTTGACCCACCAATCAAAAACAAGTGGAGGAAAAATCAAGAGGCTTTTGGAGGATTTGAAGAAGGGAAAAATAGCAGATTCACCAGGTAGGGATAGTAATGTCAGTAATATTTGTTACTTTGCATCTAACGTTTTTCCAATGCTTTTAGGACACTGCCAAATGTGACAGCTACACACCAATGGAACTTGAGAGTGAGAAGGCGCTTGACATACAAACAGAACAGGTATGTCTAGTAGTAAATATTACAATTTATTGTATTTTCATTATAAATTAAAACTTTTGTGTTTCCTTAGAGCAATGAGGTAGGAGGGAGTTTTTACATGGAAAAAGTCTTGAAGCGGACTATAGTGTCACTGATTGTCACACGCAAGTCAAAACATTTCTCTTGTAACCAAATTCATTGTTTTCTCAGGGTATGCCCCATTGTACAAAGAAGAGCTAAATGAACAACTGATTGCCTAAAGATGTGCAGAAACCCGTCTCCGAGCACCAGACATCACAGCTGAAGCGTTATTCTTTGTAATAATTAAGAATACAAATCCTGTTAACATTGAAACTTTTTTTTGCAGGCTTTTTTGGGCAGGAATGCACTTGAATGAAAATGTCAAACGTGGGCAAGATTCTTCAAAGGGGCAGTCTTTATTCAAAGTTCCAACCCAAAGTACAACAAAGGAAAGCAAACAGCAAAGCCAACACTTGGTAAAGAAATAATACTGTACAAACATTACAGTACAATAACTTAATAATATATTATTACAGAGGCTGACCAGGACAGAAAGCCAACGCACTGGCCTTCAGGATCTGTGAAACTCTTCGCGTATCCTGAGCACATCACATGCAGGAATGACCTGGCTCCCAGTCGTCCCGAGCACCAGCTAACCAACTCCACAAATCTGAGACTCCTGTGGAATTGGACACGTATGTTAATTATTGTAATTTGCTGTTTGCGTAGTGTACTGAAATGTTTTGTCCCTTTGTCTGTTTCATGGTGTGACGACGAGACCATTTGCACCTGCTGACTGTCCTCCTTCAGCCCGACTCGTGGGCTGCACCCCTGCCTGGGAGCTGCCTCAGTCCTCGTTCTGCTGCCCCAGTCCCGCCTGCGCCCTGGTCCATGTTCTGTAGCTTAGGTTCTGGATCTAAAGCCTGTCCGTCCGTGAGGAGCGGATCCCTTTCTCAATGTGGTCTCCCTCAAGGTTTCTCACTTTTTTCCCACTGGGTTTTAGAGTTTTTCCTTGCCGATGTAGGAGGGTCTGTTAGACAGTTAAGTGTCTAACAAAAGGACTGGTGATGATCCAGGACACTTTATCATTCTACAACATGTATGGACATTTTTTCTCCTTATGGATCAATGGTTCTGTGTTGTTTTGCATTTCATGTGTTTTAAGTGTTCCTCTCAGATTTGTGTTTTGAAAGATATACAATGTATTGTGTGCTTTGGATGTGCCTGATATTTGTTAAATGAATTGATTTCTGAAAATGAAGTCTCCACGCTCTTTCAACATTATCAATATATTTATTTGACAGGGACAATGCAGACACAGTCATAAACAAAGCTTGCAGCTGATGTGATGAATGTAGTTTATAGCAGATGCCAATTCACAACTCCTGTCCCTGGTTGGGCCTAACCAATCAAAGTCAATACAATTCCTACATTTCTAAAAATACACTTAGTTTACAGCCTACAGACTTGATTGATCCACACAAAAAAACTACAAACGTGTTTTCTCTTGTATTTAAAGCTTGACATCAATGCGGGAACTTTACATCCTTCAGCAGGAAAATCTACACAAATTCAATTCAATACCACAGCCCATTTTTTATGCACAACCTAACATAAAACCCATGAAAAAACCTTTGATTGGTTCCAATTTTAAATGTTACTCACCAGTGTTGTTCATTTCTTTAATAGAAAGGATGCACCCGATCTTTCATCTGGGAAACTAGTCAAAATTCATCAATCCACGAATGAATTACATTTCAAAGGACAACATGGCCATGGCATGTAATCTCTGTGGTTACTGGTGATAATAATCCTGTGGTTGTTGTCATGGATCAGCTGCAGCAGAGTCTTGACAGTAAAAGTTGCACTATATATCCAAATGGCCATATTTTTTTTTTGCAACTTCGAATTCATCCCATGAAAATTATTAACTGAACTGACAGAAAAGTGTGCAGTCCACAAGCTGTGCTGCTGCAGGTGATCGCTGCATTAAATTAAATTTATTATTTCCATTATCAACATTCATCCAGTTGTAAGCTGTAGAGTTGCCACAGGACGCTTCATCAGCCTACGTCAGCTGCCAGGACTGCTATCATAACATAAGCATAGTGGTTTCATAGGTGCAGTTGACTGCTTAAACTAAACTTTACCCGAAAGTTTGACTCTTAAAACCCACATGTGCCAACACGGAACCATCAACATCTCGCCTCAAATTGCATTAACAGTGACATTCGTGTCTTATTTCGTTCGTATTATAACTTTTAAAGGAATTCACGGACTTTCTGTCCGCCATCTTGGTTTGTTTCGGCTGCCGTGAGACGCGCATGCGCGCAGGTTTGCATTACATCATTAACAGCTGAGCATTACATAAGCGTCACTTTTTGGCAGAGCGTTACAACTCGGCAGAACACCGGCACAAAATGAAGATCCTGGTCGTTTGTTCTTCCTTGATGAAGAACCTGTGGATGTCTCTATTGTTCTCGACAGCAAGGAGATTGTGACTGGATGTGGAAATACTGCAAAGGCATGTGCACTGCTAATGGGTCTAATATATTCCCTCAATCTTGCTTATCCTACAACACTACGATACACCTTCGAAGTATTTCAGAAGATTTTCTTACATTTTAGATGCATTTAAGCCATCCCCGAAAATACAAACACTGAAAGTCAAGCTACTGTCCAAAACATAAGAGAAGCAATTTTGTTCAGCATAAGAGAAAAGGCCACGATTTTATATAATTTGATGTTGTTACTTTAGCTTAGACTCTAGCTTAGACTAGAATATGAAAATTAGTCATTAAAACATGGACATGTTAAATTAATTGACTATTCTTGAATCTAGTAACTCCTCATGTAACAGTGTTTTAATTAGGGAAAATGTGAAAGAGCTCGGCCACTTCTAAAATTACCTCGGTCTGGAGCCATTGAGATTTACTGCGAGAGGCTAATGCTACAACATCCTGGTCTTTAGCTGAACAGAGGCTCAAAGACCAGGCAGGTGCATCATCTCATCTAAGCTAATGACATTTAATTATAGAAAATCAATGGCCTATCTCTATACCATTCCCATTGCATCCTTTTTGTGATAATTAAGTTTTCTGTTGTCATGTGTTCTGCTTTTAAGGTCAGCTTTAGTTCATCTTTTAGTTTTCATTGTTGATGTGTGAACTTAAAAGTTTGTCAATAAAACAGGTTGTTAAATGTTGATATTTGCATATTGTTTTTTCTTATTAATTCAATAATAATGTAATTGTTACACACATATAGTACTTAATAAGTATTATTGCAATGATATGAAATATACTGATAAAATATAAATAACATTTATTCAAGTTATCCATTATTGTAAATGATCTGTACACATAATGGTTACTCAGTATATCTATTTCACACATAAATAACCTAAAAAAATCACATAAACCTTACTTGATTATTTTATGTGATCAAGTAAAAAAAAATCACATTTGTTAAGTAAGGTTTACTTACAAATAACATTCAGATTATACTTGATGAAATAAAAAGTTTTACTTGATTTATAGTAGTAATCTTTAATTATATCTTCGTGCAAATACTTACGAGGATTTTTTTAAGTAAATGTTAATCACGATTTTTTTCAGTGTATAACGTAAAACTTTTGCATCACGTTGGTGATCTTTCCAAAAAAGAGAGAATATCGTTATGGAAAGAGAAACTATTGGTAATATAACGCTGAACGTTATTTGACTCAAACAGCTTGGAACAATTGGATTACAAAATTTGGACATCATTTGGAACAATCTGGATTTCTGAATTTGGACATCATTTGGAACAATCTGGATTTCTGAATTTGGACATAATTTGGACTGAATTGAATTACTGAATCTGGACACTAAAGCTGAAACGTGCGATTGAAAGACACGTCACAGAAGAATTCATGGCTTGACACAAATGCAGCCTGAAGAAATCAACACGGAGAAGTGGGAGAGACTGTTTTCAAAGCAATATCTGAGAACCATTGACTGATGAAGTTTGGTATTTTACTGAAGATTGTTGACAAGTTTTATGAAAGATCTGAAAATGTTTTATGAGTTTTCTGAGTTTTTTGAAGTACCGAGTGAAGTACCGAGTTTAAGTATTGAGTTATGTATGTTTGTTCTACGTAAATACTGTCTGTGTGCTATTTTTGTTGCACAATGCTGTAGAATTGCAAAGAGCATATGCAGTAAATATGTGAAAGACATACAGTACATACATATATATCTCACTAAATACAGTCACAATGAAAACATGACTAAATCATTTGACTGTTGTTCATAAACACTGGTGTCAGGACACAGACACAGACCGTTTCATTGACATGAAGACTTTCTTTTGAGGAATTAAGTTCATTTTGAGGAAGTGACTTTTTAGCAAGTTATCCATGAGGTTTTGCCGATTGCACTAATTGTTCTGAGAAATGCACAAACTGATTACAAAATATATACTGTGCATTCTCAGGGGACACACTGCCATGGCATCTCTTCTGCATTGTCCACATGTGTACTGTATCTGTGGACTACTGTAGTACTCTCTTGGAGCCTCCCTCCCCGCACGAATAAACAAAGCCCACCCCAGGCCCCTGCTGTTATAAGTCATTACCTAAATTTGCAAATCAATACATGCAAATGTTAGCAGCCAACCTAGCATAGTGTGTATCATCTATGGTATTAAGCAACTTTTGTTAAAGTTAAACTCATCATTCTATCAATGTGCAGAAGCCAGGTACTTTTTCCCTTGTTTTGTCTATCTGAAGGCCAAGCTACATGCACAACGTGGAAGCTGCTGATTGGAGGTTCTCCATGCCTCCGCTCTGTATAATACACTTGTATTCTGTTGTATCTGTGTTCGTGCTGTCTCTACCATCGACAATAAAACATGTCTTCTGTCTGAATTTAAGACGCGATCCCAGACTTTGTCATCTTCTTTCAGGTGGTGGAGAATTGCGGGCATTGTCTGTAACATCTAGAGAACAGAAGACTACTTTTTTTTACACAAAAATGTGTTTTTTTTTTAAAGCCAAAACTGAGAAACCTCAAGAGAAACCATGCGTCTGGACCAGCACAAAAGCGATTCCTCCAGAACGATTCTTTGCAAGGCTTCGGGGGTTGCAAGGCTTCGGGAGGCCGTGAAGTGAGAGTTTCTCCGCTTTTAAGCGGCTGCCTGGTCGGTAGTAGGGATGGGCGGATCGAAAATATCGATATTTCGATCCAGGTGGCTCAAATTTAAGGATCGATCCTCAAGTTAAAATATCGATACTTCTAATTAAATTAATATATTTTATTTTTCTGTAATAATCCTATATTTTCTGCACACACAAACGACTTTTCCTTCCGCTTTCTGCACTCACGCAGCGCCAGCACGAACTACTTTTCATTCCGCCATCTGCACAACACAAGCTGCTGCTGGCGTCTGCCCCCTCCGCCCCCTCCTTTCCTCACATGTGCTCCGTGAGCCGGACCTCCAAATAAACACAGTGACGGCATGCAGGTGAAGCAACATGGCCATGGCGTCGAGCGTAAGAGGAGTCTTGTTTGGAGTCATTTTCGATTGCTTAACAGCAGCGATGCAAGATGCGATGTGTGTGACAAGACTGTGAAATATTGTGGCAATACCACCAATCTAACGAAACATTTAAAAAACGTGCATCCGACGGTGCACGAAGAGTTACAGAAGAAACGAGCTGTGACTGAGGCAGCGGGAGGAGAAAGCAGTACAGCAGCAGCACCGAGGCAAAGTACATTACAAGAGGCGTTTCACAAAGGCAGGGTATATCCAGGTAAAACTTGTTTGATAGATAACCAAAAGACATGAGCATTACTGGTCGATGTGCAATATTAAACAATGGTCAAATGCTGTGATACATTTTATTGATGTATGTTACCTAAAAAGTCCCAATCTGTGCTAGTGCCAGTCCCATTGCCAATTAGTAAGAGCTGCCCACTACACTTAAGTTCAAATGTCAATATCAATTAATTAATGTATACATCCAAATACGTGTTTAATTCTATAAAAGTATATTTTTTTTGATTGCACATTTCCCCTTAATGCATTTATAAAAGGGTTAACATTATTGATGTGATGTACTGATAGACTGTGTGTGTCTTATTTTTTAATAGATGACTCTCCAAGAGCAAGGACCATTACAAGACTGATTGGAGAAATGATTTGCAAGGACCTTCAACCTATTTCAGTGGTAGAGGACAGTGGGTTTGTTGCCCTAATGAACTATGTTGATCCATGCTATAAAATGCCAAACCGCAAAAGTATTAAAGAAGGCACTATAAAACGTATGTACACAAACTGCTGCAATGACTTGAAGAGAGCTTTAGAAAGGGTGGAAAGTGTTGTGTTGACTACTGATATGTGGACATCAAGATCCACTGAGGCATATTTGACAGTGACCTGTCATTTTGTGCACAACTGGCAGATGGTAGAATATGTCTTAGAGGCTAGCCCCTTCACTGAAAAGCACACCGCTGCCAACATTAGTTCAGCGTTGAAACGGATAACAGATGATTGGGGCATTAGGCAAAAGGTTATCGCAGTCATCACAGACAATGGTGCTAATGTTGTCGCTGCAGTTAACATGGCTGGTTGGACTCACTACCCCTGCTTCGCCCATACTTTGAACTTGGTAGTAAAAGATGCCATCAAAGCTGTCCCTGAAATTGTGAATCTTGTAAAAAAATGCAGCAACATTGTTGGATATTTTCACCACAGCTCCAAAGCTACTGAGAAGCTTGTAGAGATACAGAAACAGCTGAACAAGCCGGAGCATAAATTGATACAGTCAGTTGAGACGAGGTGGAATTCTGCATTTTACATGTTGGCCAGACTTGAGGAGCAGAAGGAAGCAGTCACCACTGTACTTTGTTTAATTGGCAGAAATGATCTGTGCCTGGGAAGTGAAGAAGTGGACTTGATCCATCCAACCATTGAAGCACTTAGACCATTTGAAGAGGCAACCATTGAGACCTCTGCATCCAAGCACGTCTCCATGTCCAAGGTAATTCCTCTGGTTTCAGTCCTCTTAAAAGCTACAGCTGCCACTGAGCATCAAGAAAACATCCTTTCCCGTCAGCTGTTATTCCAGTGCCAACGAAGATTTCATTCCATTGAGACATTTTATGGTATTGGTGCATGCACATTTCTGGACATTCGTTTTAGGAACATTGCTTTTCGCAACAAGGACAATCTGGAAAATGTTAAAAGGCGCATACTTGCAGAAATGAAGGAAAATCAACTTGTGCCTCAAGCAGCATCATCCGTGTCAAACTGTGCATCTTCAACTCCTCCGGCTCCAACTCCTCCGGCTCCAACTCCTGCGGCTCCAACTCCTGCGGCCCCACAACCTACATCAAGCTCTACCACATCATCAGTAAGAGGAATATGGGCCGATTTTGACACGCAGGCAGTGTCATCACAGCAGCACCGCACTGCAGCCACTGATGCACTCATTGAGTTACGCCATTACTTAGAAGAAAAGATCATCCCCAGGGACCATGATCCATTACAATGGTGGAAAGATCACACACAAGCATTCCCATTCCTCAGTCGTCTTGCATCCAAATATTTGGGCATCGTAGCATCCTCAGTTCCCTCAGAAAGGATCTTTTCTAAAACAGGGGAGCTCATAAGCCAACGAAGAAACCGGTTGAAGGGGAAAAATGTTAATATGCTTCTATTTCTAAACAAGAATCTTGGATCACAGAAATGAGTTAGTTCTGTATAAGTGACTATAAGTTCTTGAGCGTTTTGTTGCAGTGCAGTCAATTTATGAGTTCATCAGAATTTTCAGCTGTGACGGATGATTCTCAACTGTTTTAGTTGGTTACAATTTTTAATTGTAAGGTTTTTTATATTGATTTGAGTTATTCTGCCGAAAAGGCAATGCAACTTAATTTATACCGCGCATTTCGTACACAAGGCAACTCAATGCACCTTGAGCGATGCAGAAAGGTAATTTTTTTTCTATTTTATTATTTATGCATCTATTTATTTGTATTATTTTGTGCTTTTTATTGTTTTCTATTGTTGAAGGTCTGTTATTTTGTTAATAAAAAAGTATAGTAAAATTAATTGCAAAACAGACACTGGATTTTGTGTATTTCAATGATCTACCACTAGAGGAGTGTATGCCTTCAGAAAACGTTTGACATTTTTGCACGTTAAAACTTTTGCATTTTCATTTACTTTTACATTAATAGACCTATATTTCAATAGATCAGATCAAAACATGTGGGTACTTTACTGGCTTTACATTTGATCTAATACAAATAAAGTAAATATGAAGGGGAAATGTGTACATCAATGTACGTGTTCAGTGTTCAATTTGAGGGATGAACTCCGCTGGATCCCTTATACCATAATACCTACAAAAAAGCATATTTATTTTTCATCTTGCACTTGCTATTAAGCACCTGTATCGATAAATTACCCCTTTTGTTCATATAATCCATGTAGAAGACTGTTTTGTTCAGCTGTTGATCCAATATATATATTACAAATAAAAAATAAAACTACTTCCGGTATCGGTATCGGATCGATATCGACCCTTTTGCCCCAGGTATTACTTGGTATCGGATCGAATCCAAAATCACTGGTATCGCCCATCCCTAGCCGGTACGGGTGATTGGAAGGGGGCGTTTGCTGTGCGATAGGCTGGGGATGTGAACCGGCCTGGAGGGGGTAACTTTGGCTGACGTCTACCAAATTGAATTTCCGCGGGCTGCATTTTAATTTCATGGTTTCATTATTTGTGGTTTTGATATTTAGGTACCTGATGCAAAATGTTCTAAAAACCAAGTTCCAGGACTTAACCAGGTCTAAACTAGGACTAAACCTGAACCAAGCCAGAAGTAAACAAGGACAAAATCCGGTCTGAACTTGGACTAAACCTGGTCTAAAACAGGTCTAAAACAAGACTAAAGCTGGACTAAGGCAGAGACTAAAGCCGGACTAAAGCCAGACCTAAAGCAAAACTATAACAGGACTAAAGCAGGTCTAAAGCAGGACTAAAGCAAGACTAAAACAGGTCTAAAACAGGAATACAGCAGGACTACAGCAGGACTACAGCAGGTCTAAAGCAGGTCTAAAACAGGACTACAGCAGGTCTAAAGCAGATCTAAAACAGGACTACAGCAGGTCTAAAGCAGATCTAAAACAGGACTACAGCAGGTCTAAAGCAAGTCTAAAGCAGGACTAAAGCAGATCTAAAATAGGACTACAGCACTACTACAGCAGTCCTACAGCAGGACTAAAGCAGGTCTAAAGCAGGTCTAAAGCAGGTCTAAAGCAGGACTAAAGCAGATCTAAAGCAGGTCTAAAGCAGGTCTAAAGGAGGTCTAAAGCAGGTCTAAAGCAGGTCTAAAGCAGGTCTAAAGCAGCCTGACTCCCTCTCCCCTGTATGTTTAAGGTGGTCTTGGTGGAGTCCATAAAGCAGAGTCTGTTAATGTCTAACTGATCTACAAACACAAACCTCTCTTTTCACTGGGAGCCCTGGACTGAGGTCTGCACACTGCAAAAATACATTCATAAAGTCTCTCAATTGGAAATTCACCGAGGCCTTTGTGGACTTTGCATGTTCTCCCCGTGTCTGTCTGGGTTCCCTTCAGATGCTACGTTTTCCCCTATACCACTGTGGATATTTCACGACACTTTGAAGCAACTGTGGTTAAAGTTGAATTCATCAGAATGACACATCCTGGAGCTGGTACATTTCCAATTGTTTTGGTTTATCTCAAGGCTGAAGCCAATGGCTTCGTGGCAAGTTCTGATTGGACGGTGTCTGCTATAATATCACTTGCATTCTGTGAAACTCGTATAGTCTATTGTTGACAATCAAACATGTCTTTTGTCTTTCCGACATAATCCCAGACGTTTGTCATTTTCTTTACCACTAAAATCCATGGATCTATTATAATATCTGGATAGGGTATTACAGCTTGGAGCTGAAGAACCCATGTGCTCGAGGGATTCTTGCGGTACTGCAGACTAAACCAGACTAAATTCACTCGGGCTACCCAGAAATGTTCTCCATAGAGTTCTATGGAGAATGTAAAACAGCTCGAAAAACAGCTCGACCTCAGCTGACGGAGAATCTAGAGCTTTAATAAAGGTCAAATTCTGTGGGGATTTTAGTGTCTCTTGTCATCCTGAACTTTTTTTCTTCTTAAATCTTTTGGTTTTCTTTAAATCCGCACTTTACTGGCACAAACTCTGCTAGGTTTCTTCCCGCTCTAACTCTGCTCTGATCAGCAGCTCTGATTGGTCAGAGCGTGGCCGAGCCCCTCATTGCGCGTGCATGAAAGCCACACAGGCGTTTATGGCGCAAAGCATCATGGGAGATAATCGACTGCGCAGAACCGGGAGGACCAGACGATGCCCAAATATAGGCGACTTCCGCTAATCTTTCGGTCCCCGTGGTGCACTGGCTGTCACTCCCGTATTCGTCCTGGAAACTGGATTTGTCCGGAAGTTCATTTTGCGCATGTCAAAAAGTGTAATATGCCCTTAACCCGTCTCCACTTAAGTTTAGGCGTCTGAGTAAGATGGTTAAGGTTAGGGTTAAGAGTGGGTTGGGGTTATTTTATGGAAATGGCTGGTTAAGTTTAGACGTGAATAGGTAGTTTGTTATATTTACTTCCGCTTCCGTCCAGATTCCGTGACGTAATCTACTGCTGCGTATGCTCATTGGATCAAACTGAACTTCCGGACGAATCCGGTTTCCGGGACGAATACGGGAGTGACACTGGCCATTGATTTGATTAGGACGCCATCTTGGATCTCAACTCTTTGTGAATTTTCTGGTTAAATAAAGATCAATTCATAAAAAGTAGTGATTTATCAGATTTATTAGTTCATTTTGTTGAAAGGAAAGTTAAGTACCACAGCTTTAATGTTTATATCTATCTATATTTCTACACACATCGAAAGTTTTTGATAACTATAGATAACTTTAGAACAGAAAGCTTAGACTGTAAATCTCTTTCTTGCTTTAATGTATTTTATATTATATAATACACACAGAGACACAGGTATAAACTACATTTATTAGTTGAGCGCCTTTCCAACACAAAGCAAGACAAAGCGCCTCACAACACATATCACATCAGGCATAAATCATACACATTAAAATCCACATTACTAACATACACTTAAAATCCCACAGGCCTTAAAAAAATCAACAAGAAATATTGAAAAATTAAAAGTAATTAAAAACCTTAAAACATTAAAACCACACATGGGATTAAAATCATAAATAGCCACAGTGCATTAAAAAATAAATATATAAAAAAAGATCACTCAATCAGTTGTACCATATATATTTGGAGTTTTTCCAGATCAACGTGAATAAAACAAACTGGATTATTTCAGATTTCTTCATTGGTTCATCCTCGTTCGGGGTCAGTTCTAAAGTCCGCCACTAGGAGGAGACACATACCGTGAAAAAGGTGTTATTTTCATCCAAACAGACACAGGATGTTATGGAGAAGCTGTGTGTCCTGTTTACAGCTGCTCCCAGTCCCTCTCCTCTTTGTCCTGGTCCCGGGAAACACTTTCATCACATTCTTCATTCCTCACTTCTGTATGTTTCATAAAACACACAGTAGTTCTGCTTTTATCCTATGTTCATATTCAGTCTAATTTACCATCGCAGAAAGAAAAGAGAAATGAAAACGTTGTGAGAGAGACCAGGGAGTGACCACAGAGAGACCAGAGAGAGAGCATGAGAGAGACCAGAGAGAGACCCAAGAGAGATCAGAGAGAGACCCAAGAGAGACCCAAGACAGATCAGAGAGAGAGCAGAGACAGATCAGAGACAGATCAGAGAGAGACCAGAGAGAGACCAGAGAGTGAGCATGAGAGAGACCAGAGAGAAACCAGAGAGAAACCAGGGGGTGAGCATGAAAGAGACTCTCTCTTGTCTCTCACTTATCTCTCTCTCTGGTCTCTCTCTTTTCTTGTGTCTCTTTCTCTCTGGTCTCTCTCTTGCCTCTCTCTACTCTCTCTCTGGTCTCTCTCTTTTCTTGTGTCTCTCTCTCTGATCTCTGCCTTGCCTCTCTCTGCTCTCTCTCTCTTGTCCTTATCATTTGAACATAGAAACCACATGATAAAAAGTGTGTTCATTGATAACGTTCAGAGACATGGCAGAGATGATGCTGTGTGTGTGTGCGGTGTTTCTCTGAGCAGTAAATAGTCTCCGACTGTTTATCAGACGCTGCAGATTTGAGGCATAAATCAGTGTGTTTACATGTCCGTGTTTGTCACATCCTCCTTCGCTCTATTTGGGTCTTTTTTAGTCTAAATGTGGATCACACGCATCATCACGGCAGCAGAGGAGCTTCCTGCCACTTCACAGACACCAGCTGTCCCAGTGACGCACCAGCCGAGCGGGGGACCAG